GGGGGAAAAAAGTGCTGGAGATATTTTTTCTCGGCAGTTTGTTTCTGTTTGTTTGTTTTTTTTGGTTTTGAGTTGGTTTCTTTTTTTCCAGGGATTAATCTAGGCTTCTTTTTAGCAAACACTGGGAGATGATGTCTGCAATTATGAGAACAAGAAGCATAAAAGAGAGTGAAGACTGTGATTAGTATAAATTTTACTGTAAGGGCTTTTTGGTAGAGAACCATTATGAATATTAATTTGAATAAATGAGAAAGACCATGCTGGAAGGATGAGATAATGTCAGAAAAAGTTGGTCTGTGGTAGTATTGTTAATTCAAGTTAAATATTCTTGCTAACTCCCCTTAAAGTAACAATAGAAGTCAGTTTAAAATCCAGCAGGTTACTTTAATGCAATTCTAAGATCATATCTGAAATTTAATTTGGGTTTCTAGTATAATTTACATTACAGTAATTTGGATTTTGGTTCTACCTCAAGTCAAATTAATTTTTTTTTTTTCTTTTGTTGTATGGAGGCAGGGACACTTCTAATTACTCTATTTGTCTAATAGACATTCAGAGCTCTGGAATATGATTTAGTCAGAGAAAGAAAGTTAATTGCTCTGTCAAATCAGTTACTGATGTTCATTATATCACATCTGTTTTTGTAAGGACTGTTGCCAGCAGCATAATTTTATGTGTGTGAATATTTCACCCCTGGATCCACAAAATGATCACTGTGAAAAAAAATCAACAGTATTTTGAGATTAAAATCAGCAAAAAAGTGGGCTCAGCTATATAGCAGTTCCCCTATCTCAATGTCCAATCTTTCAGCTTCTTTAGGAAGTCATCAGTGCTCAGTAGTCTTGATCTGGCTGGGTTGGCCTGAAAGGTGGTGCTGCTCAGTAGAAGACAGAGGACTGCCTCCTGACTCTCATGTCAAGTGGAACAGACCAGGGTTATGTCTACATTGCTTAAGGCTGGTGTCCTGTGGAAGGAATGGACTGTCCTCACTCCATAGGATTTTCTCTTGAATCTTCTTGGGAGCCAATATTATGCTTTTGTGATGTCAAGACACTGTTAGTTCCCCTGCCCTGAAGTTCAAGCAGTCTCAAAAACAGGAGGGCTTTTGGACAGGATAGCATGTTTTGTTCTGTGCACTGTAGCATGAGTGTGTTGAAGGCTTCACCTTGCTGGCATGCTTCTTAGTAGGCAGGAAGATGAGCTTGGAGTGTATAAGGAAGGAGCCAAACTTGTTCTACAGTGTTGTCTGGAGTGCCCTTTGAAAGCAGTATATAGAATACGCCATCTCTTGAAGTGCAGGTGAGAGAAATACTGACACCTGCTGAATAGAGCCACAGAAGTGGGATGATAGTTAACAGCATTGACAGTTACAGGTGCTTGAGGCTTCTCTTTTACTGAGAAAAGCTGAAGTACTTTACAATCATAGTAATAGCAAGTAATGCTAAGTCTGGAGTGGTGATTGTAACAAAAATAAGTTAATAAATATTAAAGGATAAGCATGGGTCTGAAGCAGGTTCCAAATCCATTTTGAAATAAACCACTGATTTGACAATTGCTTCCAAGCCATATGGCATTTCAGTGCTGGTTTTTGAAAGATTGTTTGTCATGACGATCCTAAGTCTGTTTTGGGATTTTTCAGACCCAGCATGTGATCTCTTGAAAGTTGAAATAAACTGACAGATATTTACCACAGATCTGGCATTTGCTCTTCCTGGCAGTTAATGTCCTCATCCTGTCAGCGTTTGTTTATCTCAGGACACTGAAAATATAGATTTGTACAGCTGAGATCATGAATAAAAGTTTGAAATCAGTTGCAGATAGGTAAACTTGCACCTTGGAACAATTATGTTTTTCTTCCCAAACTGTCTTTCCTAGACTCATCGAGATTGCTTTCAGTTCTAATACCATAACTGCTTGCTTCAATATATTTTTATTACAGGCTAAGCTATTTCAGTTCTAGCTGTCTTTTGATCTTGTCTCAAAGTGGATCACAGTGTAGAGCCATCAGAATTTGGTACTGAAAAGAGCCAATATGCCTTTTTGGAGTAGAAAGTGTTTTCTGCCTCTAATTTCAAAATTGGTTATTGATAAAACAATTCTTGTGGAAGATGGAAAGTTCTTTAGATGTAAAAACTCAGAAAATAATTGTGTGTTTTTTTAATATTGCTTGTATGTAAATGGAAAGGCCTGTTTCATGTTCTGGTTTATGTGTCTTCTGAAACGTTATCTGTAAGCTCTTCCTTGTTCTGTAGATCTCTAAAAAAACAAATGGAAAACCACTCTGTGGGTTTTGAGCAATAATTTAATTTTTAGTCAGTTGGGTTCTTTGTATGTTGTATTTGGTTACTTTTTCCTGGGCAGTGAAAGCAGCTGTGTTTAATGAGCTGGAACAAAAGTAGGTCAATAAAATGTACTTCATATGTACATGATTAGCAGTCTTAAAACTATAAACCAAAATTCACTTAGGATTGGGAATGAGATCTGTGTTCAAAAGATGCTGCTTAAAAAATACTTTTCATACAATCAAGGGAATAAAATAATACTGAAGAGCCAGCTGAAGCCATATACAAATATTCATTATTATTTTAGAGTTTTGCTGAAATTGTGTCTTTTTGAAGCTGTACTCAAGTCCATAAAGACTAGATAAAGTTTCAAATTAGCTTCTGTAGCAGTGATCTTCTGCTTTACAAGTATATCTGTATATCTATACTTCTGCTTTACAAGTGGCAAAGGTTTGAAAGCTAAGCTGTGCCTAACAATTATTTAAAATATTAATAAGATTTTAATAGACCTAATTTTTACCTCATTTCAATATTAGACAAGTATTATTCATGCCTGTGCCTGCATACAGAGGGAACTGCATGTGAGCAGTTACCCTGTATATTATTTGTTAATAACTAAAATGTAGAAGTTGAAAGGTCATGCAGATAAAAACAAGTTTCTCACTATGTTTCCCTGAAATCTTGTCATACCTGTCAGTGAAATAACATATTTGAGAGCACAATTTGGATTGGACTGTTAAGTTTTATATTGATATAATTTAAAGTCTCATATTTTTTCTTTCATGATATGTTTATTCTTTATATTAGAAAGCATTGTTTAGATACAGTATTAAAAAAGAAAAATATTTTGAATGCCACATGATAACAAGGAAGGTGAATGATGCTTTTTATGCTTTACTATGCTCCAGTTGTAAAGTTATAAAAGTACTGAATTTTCCCTCTGGAATTTCAGCCTGCCTGAAATTAAAAACAAATACTCCTTTGTAGAAGTGTCTCAAATCTATTAGGGAAGTAGGTAGTTGGTGTCACAGATTCGTGGGAGTGTTTGACATTAGAGAAGGATGCAGGGAGATTAGACTAGAAGTTAGGGCTGCTCCATGTAGAAGTTAATATAAATGTGTTCATTATGCACCTGTCAGGAGTGGGCTTTCCACTGGTGTGTTTGTAATGTTTGGAAGTAGTTAGACTTTTTTGTAGTCCGAGATTGACAGAAGCACAAGAGTGCCAGCTGTGAGCTGCTCCAGCAGTTCAGTATTCTAGCGGATCATAGAATCACAGAGCAATTTGTGTTGGAAGGGACTTCTAAAGGTCATCTGGTCTGCAATGAGCAGGGACATCTTCAACTAGATCAGGTTGCCCAGAGCCTCATCTAAGCAGATTTTGAGTGTTTCTAGGAGTGGGACATCTGCCACCTGTAACGTGATGTACAGTGCATAGTCAGCATATTTTACCAACATTGTTTAGCAATATTCACAGCTGGAACAAGATTACATTGTCAGGGAAATTGTATTATATGACTTTAATTAACTGTAATAAGTGTACTATTCGCACAGAATTTTAATTAGTATCCCCTTCTGTTGAATAAGACCAAATGTTTTAAAGCTTTTGGTGTTTCTTCTATGTGTCAATACCCATGTAAAAAAAACCACAAACCGTAGCTGTTTTCTAGGTGTTTGTGTTTTGCGAACTTCTGTTTTTTGTTAATCAGTAATACTGCCTTTTCCTTAGGTGTTGATCTCCAGGTTTGTACTTTGAAAAATCCAACGTGCTGTACCAAAAAGATGGAAGAAAGGTATCAGATTGCAGCAAAGCAAGATATACAGCAAGTGCTTCAAACATCAAGTGCTACATTAAAATTTTTAATATCTCATAATGCAGCTGCTTTTCAAGGTAAAGCTTTCTGCTTTTTGTTTCCAAACTTGTTAATACTTTTCTTGATTTTCATATTTGATTATTTATGACGTAATAAAGGTTATATGTTAATTTTTAGCTTCCTCCTTTGCTTTTATGCTTTCAAATGAGGACTACTAAATCATGCAGGTGATTAGAAAACTGCATTGCTTTTGGAATTTGTGGCCTTTAAAAAATTTTATTTGAGAAAAAGTAAGACATCATTCTAGTAAGACACTTTGATTTTAATTGTAAACCTGTAACTTCACATTTCTCTTTAACTGCTTTTACTGGAGTCATACTAAAATGCAAAATTAGTGCCTGGAGTACTATGAAAGAGAGATTTTTGTTACATCACTGTTTCCATCCACTATATTCTTTGTCTTTTTCTTGTAGACATTCTTGGGTAGTTTATTTTTGAGATTTTGAGGTTCTTTTTTCAGATCTAGTTTTTCAGACTTTTGAGCTTCTAAATGTAATTGAAAAAAATTGCACATTGAGTGATAGTTGTTTTAATAAACAACAGGAGGTTACCCAATAAATAATAGTTATTTGGACTGGTGGTGGGGTTTCCTTTTTGTGATAACTCTTCATATACTATTCATTTCTTTTTGATTTAATTTGGCATATGTTAATGCAGAAATTGGTTAAGGAGCTGAGAAGATATGAAAATAGTAGAGGTATGAGGTTGTACGTGATGGAAGGAGATAGAGTTTACGTGTGTTGAGGACAAAGCCCTAAAGTCTTGTCATTTGTCTGTTAATATGTACTTATTAACCTTTATGACCACTTCATTAGAATGGATAACGTTTTAACTTCATACAGGCTTGGGAAGTTGTCCTTCTGGCAACTCTTGTTTTTAACCTGTGATCCTGAAATAATTAGCTGAATGGGATCCTGAAATGCAAAGTTGACTTTGTAGTCCTAAAGACTTTGTAGTCTTTTTTTTTTTTTTTTTTTTTTTTTTTTTTTTTTTTTTTTTTTTTTTTTTTTTTTTTTTTTTT